GGGAAAAGTACTACTCAAGTAAGAGTAACTTAAAAAAGTAACTGTCTTTAACATTTGATTTATAATTTGAAGTGAATATAATTGAAATGATTCAACCTTAAATAATCACAATCACAATAAGAAGCACAGAATCTGGACAGACACAAAAATGAGAAACTAACCAGATGTGAAGGAGCTGCAAGAAACACAAATCTTCAAATCATTTCATATTGTCACATAAAGTTTTGTCACTTTAGACTCACTCACAGTACACAGGAAGCACAACTTTTACTCAAGTAAGAGTACTGTTAATTCAATAAAAATGTTACTCAACTAGGAGTAAAAGTCTGCTGCTAGAAAAGTGCAATTTCTTACTCCCACCTCTGGACAAATCCATATAAGTGTCCAAATGAAATAACAGGCACGAGACAGATTTGATTTTCATGGTTTATTTTTCTGACAAATAAGATCATTAGATAAAATAGATCGGTCATTAAATCCCCCAAACATCTGTGAAACCATAAAACAATAGAGAGAAACAATCAAATCATAAACAGTGCAACTAAACATAGGTCAATGTTTCTTAGCAATAACTTAAAGCAGACATATTAGTTAGAATTTATGACACCCGTGGATCATTATGTTATAATTTGGGCTTTTTTAATCGCAGTTGAAGAAAACATTGTAAAAGAAAGAAGTTTCTTATAAAACTGTGGTGTCCATAAACGTCATCACAACAAAGCACCGCGTGCTGTCAGTCCCACTACAGACAGCTGCACATCAAACAAGTGAGTACTGGATTTTTCTGCACTATACAGTCCCTGACAAAAGTCTTGTCACTTATCCATTTTGTAGAAACAAAAGCTTATAACTTGACTTTAAATTAATCGATTGGTTTTAGAAATGTCTCATATGAAAGCTAAAACCCTCCCAAATTATGCTCAATATACTAAAATAAATTTGTTTCACTAAAGAAAGATTGATCATTTAATGAACACAGAAAGGTCAGATTTTGGCAAGACAAAAGTCTTGTGGCCTTGTCATATGATGCACCCAATCCGAGATTACAGCCTCACCTGTGATCAGTTACTGATCAATCAATTAGTGGGTGTGTATAAAAAGAAGCCCAGCACACCAGACCTTCACATCAACTGCAACTTGACCTCTGACAACATGCCTAAGATCCACCCTGAGACCAAAGCGTTAATTATCAAGAGGCTGAAGACCAGATCCACTGCTGAGGTGGTGACACCTTCAATGTGTCTCAGCGTCAAGTACAAAGAATAAGAAAAAGATCTGAAATGACTGGAGATGTTTTTGACAAGCCCAGGTCCAGCAGACCCCGCAAGACAACTGCTCGGGAGGACCGTTTGTTGATTGGAAAATCCAAGGCCCCTTTTCCACTGCAGCAGACTCCACCAGGCCTGGTCACCTCAAGTCCCTGTGTCCACCACAACAGTTTGTAGAATTCGGTCTCGAAATGGCCTCCATGGTCGAATCAGTGCACAGAAACCAGCACTAAACAAAAGGCAATTAAAAAACCGTGTGGCATTTGCCAAGGCCCACAGCCTGTTAAAAGGATGGACACTGGAAAAGTGGCAGAAGGTGGATTTCTCAGATGAATCCTCAGTTGAATTACATCAGAGCTGCCGCAAATATTGCAGGAGACCTACTGGAGCCACATGGATCCAAGATTCACCCAGAAAACAGTTAAGTTTGGTGGCGGAAAAATCCTGGTCTGTGGTTCCATCCAGTCTGGGGGTGTGCGAGACATTTGCAGGGTGGAAGGCAAATATCAATAACCTAAAATATCAAGAAGTATTAGCTCCTCTTACATTCCCAACCATAAAAGGGTCAGATTTTGCAGCAGGATGGTGCTCCATCACATACTTCTATCTCTACATCAAAGTTTCTCAAGGTGAAGAAGATCAAGGTGCTCCAGGACTGGCCAGCCCAGTCACCAGACATGAACATCATTGAGCATGTCTGGGGTAGAATGAAAGAGGAAGCATGGAAGGCAAAACCAAAGAATCTTGATGAACTCTGGGAGGCATGTAAGACGCTTTCTTTGCTATTCCTGATGACTTCATCAACAAATTGTATGAATCATTGTCGAACCTCATGGATGCGTCCTTCAAGCTCATGGAGTCATACAAGATATTAAATCTGGATCTCACAGCACCACTACTTCATTCACTGACGTTATGCAACATATTTTTGTATTTGAAGTAAATTATTAGTTCAATTTTCTGTAGGCGACAAAACTTTTGTCTTGCCAAAATCTGACCTTTCTGTGTTCATTAAATGATCAATCTTTCTTCAGTAAAGCAAATTTTAGTATATTGAGCATAATTTGGGAGGGTTTTATCTTTCATATGAGACATTTCTAAAACCAATCGATTAATTTAAAGTCAGGTTATAAGCTTTTGTTTCTACAAAATGGATAAGAGACAAGACTTTTGTCAGGGACTGTAGAACGTGCTCTCAAGCCTCCAAACTCATCAAAAATCAAAAAAAGAGAGTGCCTTATACACGAATTCACTCAGATGTCCCAGCACGACTTCAGTAAACTACAAAGACGCACCACCCACAGAACACACAAACACACACGGAGCAGAATGAACAGAGGAAGGAACCAAAAAAGCAAGTGCAATGTTATGCACTGGATTATAAAATGGTCTAGTTTTGAACTTTTTTCACAAATAAACCACACCGGACTTTAAAGGAAACACAACAGTGTGATGGGTGAGTGGTTTTGTTTGTGGCGTTCACGGTGACTCTGGGCTTTGTTCAGTTGTGGCGTGTAGGGAGGGTGCTGTCTGGGACCAACGGATTGTCGGCGTGTTCGCAGTGACTCAGTTGTTTAGTTGTGTTTAGAAGTGGCACATTGCGCTCGCTTTTTCAGTCGTTCCTCCATTCCGTTCCTCGTCAGTGTGGAGCAGGAGAGTCAAACTCATTTTGGTCCAGGAACCAACTTTGATCCCAAAGGGGCCGGATCAGAAACTCATGTCATATAAACTCCAAAAATAACAATAAATTCAAATATTTGTGCAGAAAAACACAAATCTGTCACAGAAATCATTTTTAATTGATGAACTCTTTCTTTTACAAAATATTATAATATTATGAACAACCTGAAACTTTAAGAAAAAAACAATTTCAACACAATGTTTTAACATGAACTTGTATGTAAATAGGAATAAGTAAATTTTTCTTGGTGTCACGGTCAACAGTCAAAACGATCGTCCTTTAAGAGCGTTTGGAAAGAGACAAGTCTTCATTTGTGCTGCTCTGGTGGGAGGGGCCACGTACAGAGACGCTGGAGACGCTGCTGTGATAAACACCACAGAAAATTAACAAGATTTTAATAGAAAATATAATTCAAATATTTTACTAGAAAAGGCTTAGGAGTGCATCTAATAGCCCAGAAAATATGGCAATATTAGTATTTTATTTTATTTATTTTTTTGTTATTTTCATTTCTATTCTGATTTCACTTATGTCATATGTTCCATTGTATATGAATGTAAATATTTACTTGCCCAAAATAAATACATTAAAAAAAAAAAAAAAAAAAAAAAAGAGTAAGCATGTTTTTATAACAGAACCACAATCGAGGCATCCAAACAAACATGTAAAAATGTACAAAAACTTTACTGAACAATAAAGTACAACTATTAATTATTCACATACTCAAAACACTTTTTAAAAATAATAATAATTTTTTTTAAAAAGCCTATATCGCTCCATTTTCTGATCTCTGTTCTAATGCAGTTTCCTCATCACAAACAGACCTGGAGTTGTGTTTTGTTTCATTCACATTTTTAACACACAAACCCTGCACAGAAAACACACGGTTCCACCTCATGATGTCATGTGGTAATACAGGAAGTGCTCCACTGTGTTTTTAAGCTTGATAAATCTTCACCGGAATCAGGAGGATAAATTTATTTTTGGAATTGTTTATCTTTACTGAACAAAGAGTAAGTTGGTAACTGTTAACATGATGACATCACAAGGTGAAACAGAGCATTTGGAGCTTTGAAGATATATAATAAAGAATAACTCAAACATATATGAATAAAACAACTCCAAATCTGTAAAAAAAAATTTCAGAAGAAGCGCTTCCTGGACCTCCTCTTCCAGGTGGAGCAGCCCTGTTGGTGGGTTTTTGTATTTAATTCACATGATTTGCTCTTGCGTCGGGACTTTGTAAGTCGTCCATTAAGACATGCCGTAAACTAATAAAGGCATTTTATTTTTAACCAGTGAGTGCCTTGGGGTTTTTTTTGCATTTTTTTTGCATCTTTGTAACTCCAGATCTGTTTTTGAGGTGACTTAAAGCTCACAAGAGTCATTTTTGTGTAATACAGGACTTTTAAACTGCATCATATTCTGCACATAAAACACCAGAAAAGTCAGATAAAAATGATTGAATTTCTTTTACAGTTGCATTCATGTTGTATTATTTACATGTCACTGATGGGAAAAGAGTTTCTGTAGGATCTGTAAAGATGGATCGAGCATGACATAACTTTTCTGGCGGAGGGTCGGCCACCTGCTCCATGGAGATGTTATTGTTTTATCTAGAATGTGCCACAGCATCTATCTACCGAAATCTGTGTATCATTCATTCATTCGTTTTTCAGAAAAATAAATAAGAAAAAAAAAAAAAAAAAAAAAAACAGCTTTTTCCCATTTCCGTGACTTAAACCGCGATGCTGGACTTTTGCACCACATATGGACTGAACCAGGACTAAACCAGTCTCAGTCCCGGTCTGGTCCCAGTCTGGTCCTGGTCTCAGTCCTGATCACCCAACAGTCTATGACGACATTCCTGGTTCAGTCTTGGTTTAGTCTTGGTTTAGTCCTGGTTTAGTTCTGGTTTAGTCCTGGTTTAGTCCTGGTTTAGTCCTGGTTTAGTCCTGGTTTAGTCCTGGTTCAGTCCTGGTTCAGTCCTAGTTTAGTCCTGTTTTAGTCCTGGTTTAGTCCTGGTTTAGTCCTGGTTCAGTCCTGTTTAGTCCTGGTTTAGTCCTGGTTTAGTCCTGGTTTAGTCCTGGTTCAGTCCGTATGCAGTGCAAAAGTCTGGCATCGCAGTTTAAGTCACGGAAACAGGAAATCCATTTTTTCCATTATTCATTTCAAAATCAAAAACTGAAAAAACAAATCATTATCCTTTTTTTTTCCATTAATAGTGAAGAAAATTGTTTTTCTTTCATTTCCTTATTTTTGGTTTTACATTGAAAAATGAATGAACAAATGATACACAGATTTACCTTAAGCATATGTTTAGTTAGAGGTGTTTTATTGCTCCAAAATACCTTGAAAATCATATATTCTAGCAGGGTTGCCTTTCCACAGATCTTACCTGTAACCTGGCCTGCTTGTGTACATGGACATAGATGTTTAATACCAATATTTAATGGAATCTAATGGAATATTCAACAGTAACATCTCCATGGAGACAAGCAGGTGGCAGACACTGACTAGAAAAGTTACACAGTAGACCTTTAAGACAAAATATAGTCCTCAAAATGGCCACCTCGTCCCCTCAGCGTGTGGCTCTAGGCGCTGGAGCCCAGGGTCTGCTCGGGGTCAGTGCTGGTCAGGAGCACACACAGACGCTTGGACAGCTCGGGGCCCACTCTGCGCACCGTGGACGTCACCCCCTCCCCGCGCCGGATCTGGAGCTCCGACAGCAGCGCCACCTTCTCCTTCTCCGTCCGGCACGAGCTGTAGGCCTGGGCATGAGAAAGAAGAACACGACTCCACGTTACATATGTGAGCTTTGAACGCACATGTCACCTCATCCAAATGTACACCCACACGTGACGGTCAATTACTCAGTTACTCAGACGTGTAGATGTAACGAAGCACATCTCTACGTATGTTTTTGAAGAGGTAACAACATTCCTACATGGCTTAAAACTCACAAGAGTCAGTTTTGCAACATACAGAGCATTGCTAGTTTGATCTGTAACTATTCATAGGACAAGACAACAGCAAACCCATTGGACTATTGGCCAATTTTACAACCTGAAAGTCAGCAAACTTCTGTCTTTTATCAAGTCCTTTTAGATGAGAGATAGAGAGGAAAGAGCGAGAGATGGAGAGGAAAGAGAGAGCCATAGTGAGGGTTAGAGAGAGAAGAGAGAGATAAAGCAGTGGAGAGAGAAATGGGGTAAAGAGAGAGGTAAAGGAAAGGAGGGGGTAGAAAGAGAGAGAGAGAGAGAGGGATTGGAAAAGGTAGAGGAGAGAGAAATAGGGGTAAAGAGAGAGGTAGAGGAGAGGGTTGGGGGGTAGAGAGAGGAGACAGAGAGATAGGGATTGGTAAAGACAGAGAAGAGTGAGAGATAGGGAGGGACAAGAGAGATAGAGGAGAGAGCCATAGTGAGGGTTAGAGAGAGAGGAGAGAGAGAGAGATAAAGAGGTGGAGAGGTAGGGGTAAAGAGAAAGGTAAAGGAGGGGCAGGAGAGAGAGAGAGAGAGAGAGAGAGAGAGAGAGAGAGAGAGAGAGAGAGAGAGAGAGAGAGAGAGAGAGAGAGATAGGGATTGGAAAAGACAGAGGGGAGAGAGAGATAGGGAGGGGCAGAAAGGAGAGAGAGATGATTATAAAATGCACAGGTTTCATAGATTATAGCTGTACAGCAGACACAAACATAATGTCTCCTTTAAACATCATTTCTCCACAGGTTCTATGTGGAGTTTTCTGGTGTGTGTGTTCATACCTGTGTGAGGAGCCTGGGCGAGGGGTAGGACGCGAGCACGGCCGATGCCATGTCCGCACTGACCCTGTGGAGCTGCTGCACCTGTCTCCTCCACACCTGCAGGAGGCCCCTGCCACTGCGCTCCACCTTCTGCCCCCCCGCCCACTCACTCTCCAGGTAGAAGGAGAAGCCGCTGTTGTCCCGCTCACGCCTGCAACCAACAACAAGAGGAGTCAGACAAGTGTGTATGAGATCTGTGACCAGACCTCTTTGTCAAAGCCACTGGAATATCAGGACCCACAGTGAGGCCAGTGATAAAACCCACAACTCCACACATTCCCTGTTGTTGAACAAATGAATATTTTATTCAATAGCTTTTTTGTTTTTTCCTTTTTCTCTCTTTTTTTTTTTGTTTTTGTTTGTTTTTGTTTTTGTTTCAAGGGATTCAGGTATTCACAGGAGACCCATCATTTATTGATTTGCCAAAAAGTGATTTCATATTAGGGATGGGCATTCGATGACATTTCATTAATCGATCGTCAGGAGAATTAATGATTGATTATCGATTAATGTTTTTATATTAACATGATCATCATTATTATTATTACTACTAATCTGCATACATTAATTCAACTTTACAACATATAAACTGTAACCACTCTAGAGCCACATGAGTTCCTTTGACATTAGAATGTGTTTAATGCAGATTTGTGCAAGTCTCACAGAAACCAAACTTAAAACCTCATGACTAATTTGCATAAACTAAGCAAAGAATAAAACAGCTCTTGTGTCGCTGATGTGGTTCAGCTTCTGTCGGATTAAAAGACATGACTCAGTGGAATACAGGTTAGTGTGACCAGATTTGTGTTTGTCAAAACCAGGACACCGTACGGGGGGTGGGAGGTGGGGACTCGTCATCGACATTGAGCAACTCTCACCTGGAAAAAACGTTTAAATGTTTTTCGGTGTCCTGGTGCTTTGAGGTCCCTGACACCACCACTGGACACCGAAACATATGTGCTGCTTTGTACACTGTGCACATGAACTCACACTTGCTTAGGGACGAAAAGCGGAGAATTTCTTGTACAAGTCATGCATTTGTGCTTTGGCATGTTGCAGACTGTTTGCGTTTGCTTGCTGAGTGTACAGAGAGCTACAAGAGACGCTCAGTTTAATGGCCCAATGAAAGGTAATGAAAACCTGAACATTTGCATCACTTTAAAAAAAAAAAAAAACCTGGATGGCCAGGACAGGACGTGGAAAAAGGACAACCTACATTCGGTTTGCATAATCAATGAAATTCTTAATGATCAATTATCGATTAATCATGCCCATCCCTATTTCATACATTTGCTCAGATGCTCAGAGCATGCTCTTTCATGGTGTTCTTCACAGCTGACAAACGTTTAAGCAGCCAGGCTCAACAACTCATGATCTCATGTGTAAGCAGTAGTGTAGTGCAGTGGTCTCCAACCTTTTTTGCGCCACAGAAGGTTTAATGTCAGACAATATTTTCACAGACCGGCCTTTAAGGTGTGGAGGATAAATATGACAAAATAAAATGATACAATCAACACAAACACTGTGGTATTTTCTAAATATAATGATAAACGTTTCCAAAGATGTGTGTTTTTTACTCATTTCGCAGCTTGTGGGTTTAATATTAGCGTTAATGTGTGAGGTAACGGAGACAAACATCTGTGAGAGTGAGTCAGAGATGTAACAGATAGAATTCAGTCATTTTTCAAAATAAAACATTGTTCAGACTTGGATAATAAATAAAAACAAATAATGTAAGTTATTTATTCTTTTAGTGCGGCCCGGAACCAAACGACCCATGGACCGGTACCGGGTTGGGGACCGCTGGTGTAGTGCACTCACCACACCGCACCCCTTTACATCATAAGGTGTGTATGATCCATCTCTGGCAGACTGTAATAAAAAGAAGACTGTGCTCATAGTCAGTTAAAAGTCTCCACTTTCTTGTGTTGGGTTTGAAGCACGGGGTGTTTGTGGAGTATGCATGTGTGTGTGTGTGTGTACTTTGCACACGTACATAATAGTAATAATTAAAAATCAGTCACAAGATAGAGAACTGGCAGTGGACCCCTCCATTAAAACAACCCAACAATATGTGAGGATTAGAAATGACTGAAAAAGAAAAGACCATTTCCGAGCTGTGTGTTTCTGACAGTGTGATTGAATGGTACACGTACTTGAAAGGTGCCTCGGCGACGGCCTTGGTTGCCATGGTGACGTGCTCGGTGAAGTCCTTCCAGGTGGAGAGGAAGCGCACGCAGACGCCCGTGTGCAGCTGCAGGTGGACCACAGCCTGAGGAGAAGAGCAGGGCTTTTACAGACGTGCACTCATATACAGTGTACATTATAGAGACCATAAACTGTGTAAAGAAGTGGATTAAAAGAGTTCAGCTCCAGGCAAATGAAGCTCACGAGGCTAACGGTTATAGGAAAGAGTATCAGATTAGGAATAGGAATTGCTTTATGGACAAAATGGTGAAATAAAAACACCAGGATCATGTAGAGTGGGTTAATACGAACATTTAAGGTCAAAATGAGGAGCCTGACGGTGGCAGATACAGAGAGAGTGGTGAGATATTTTTCAAAACAAAGTGAACTGGAGCTGGAGTCGATGGACTCAGAAACGCATCGATGCTCAACAGAAAAAAGTTTGCAAATGGAATACATTCTAAATAAACAATAGCTGGTTTTCAGATGACACCACAACATATGAGCCAGTGACATTTTTTATGGTGTTGGGGGCTGGTAAAACACTACTGTTAATGTGGGTACAGGATGCACCAATCAGGTCCTACATCTGATATCCTGGTTGGACATACAGGTAGAAACTGTCATAATAAGACTGTTTACTGGTTGTAGTTGGCCCAGAAAGTTCCATAATGTTTGGACTTTTATTTATACAGAGCTGTTGTGTACTGTGTTAGTTTGTGGCATAAATGCAGCTACATAACACATTTGAATCAGTTTTGTCTTATTTAATTTTTGTTTTAAGGAAATATCCTGCAGTCTCTGCACTGGGATCAATTGATATTGTGTAGCCTCACATCTTACTATGTGTCGTTTTATGTATTTTACCGTGTTTGTGTGTGTTGTGTGTGTGTGTGAGTGTGTGAGTGTGTGTGTGTGTTTGGGTTGTCTGGTTGTGTGAGGTTGGGGGTGTGGGGGTTGGGTTGGTGGGTGGATGGAAATGCGGAATGGTTTTTAATCACTGTAAAGCACTTTGTGTTACAGTTTTGTATGAAAAGCGCTTTATAAATAAAGTTTGATTTGATGATTTGATATCAGCAGATACTTAAAGCTATGCTATTAGTATCAGAATTGGTAAAGGAACTGAAAAAGCTGGATCGTGCATCCCTAGCAGTTACGTTACAATTACTTTCCTTAGTAGCTTTTAGTTAGTTTATCCAAAAATGTGTGTAATCAGTAGTGTGTGGTAAAGCAGTACACAAGATAAACAGGAGCAGTGGATGTCATCTCCAGTGAGCTTTGAAATAAAGTCATCTGAGTAGTAATGCTGCTCAATTATGGAAAAAATCATTATCAAGATTATTTTTGGTCAATATTGAAATCACGATCATTTTTTAGTTACACGATGCATCTATCAAGCATTTTCCTCACAAAAAATACTTTGTTATTGATAATTTACGCAAAACTTTAAAATTGAAAACAAATATCGGCTACAAATATGAACCAGATATATAAAAAATATCCCAAAACAAGCTTTGTTAAGATTTATAATAAACCGTTTCAAGTTGATTATATGAGTTTGGAGGTCGTTTGACACACAAAATCGCAATAAAAATTGTATTAATTGCACAGGCTTACTAAGTAGTAAATAGATTAGTTTAGAAGGTCAGTAATCAGACTAGTTTTGTAAACTGCTCACAGACATTGTTCAGTATCGAATCTGAAAGCACAAATAACATGCTTTGAACTGGACGTAACTAAAGCGTTATCAGTCGATTGTTGGAAGCACACATATGAAGTTCTGAAGTATTTGCAGGATTCCTAAAAACATGAATTCTAAAAATTACATCCATGTATGTTTTTGTTTAAGAAAAAGCATCCAACAGTGTGGTCCAAAGCTTCATAAAAATCCTGTGTGTTCCGAGTGTGTGTTGGGTGTGTGTGTATATGTGTGTCTGCGCACTCACCTCCTCCACCTCCACTCGGCTGAGCTCTGGCAGATGATTGGCTGCTGTGTTCTTCTTCTTCCTCTTGGCTCCTCCCTGCTCCTCTCCCATCACTGCCTCTCTCAGCTTCTTCTGGCTCTGGGCCTTGTGTGACCTGGAGCAGAGGATTCATCAGAGGTGGACACCAACACTGGCCAACAGGGCTGTGCTACATCAAGAGCGCACAAAACCACAGCGCTGCTCTATGTCTCAAAGGAAAAAACAAACAAATTGGTACACAGACTGAAGTACACATAAGACGTATCAGATGGCTCTTATGAAGTAGAAAAGATTCACCAAATAGGTTTAAGGGTGTAGTTGCTATTGGGGAAGGGCGTCTCTTTTGAGCTTTAACCATATAGATGAACCCATTTTTGTCAGATGCTGCTTTTTGAGTGAGTCTGTGCTTTACCTGAAGTACTGCTCCAGTCCCAGGACCACCAGGCTGAGGACCTTCTCTGGGTGTCTCCTCTGCAGCTCCTGTACCCATGAGGTGAGGGTCCGCCCACACTCCGCCCTGCCTGTGCGCTCCTCCTGCAGCCAATCAAAGCCCAGAGAAAGACAACAGTGAGACCGCGCACACACACACACACACACACACACGTACGAGCCTGCTGCAGATCTCCTCCTCACCTGGATGTAGCTGTGGCTCAGACTGATAAAGTCATCGACGTTCATCTGGATCACCACGTCGTTCTCTGGTACACCATCTCCATCTGCAGTCTGAGATAACAGACAGTTTACATTACAATAGGAACACGTGGACTAAACACTGGACCAGGGATTGACAACTTGGACAAAGTGTCAGTAACATTCATAAATATATTTCTGTGTAACATGACTGGGCAAAACGGAGTGTGATTAATCTGAGTTAATTTATGGATGATGCGTCATTTGTTTTGATTAATCGCATGTGTTAAAGCATTCATGTTGACAGCCCAAATTTAAACAAAATACAACTTAAATCAAGTACATCTCAGATTTGTGACCAGCTTGTCCAAGCCTGATCTCGTCAGATGTCAAGAGCTCAGCAGGGCGGGGCCTGGTCAGTACTTGGATGGGAGACGCTGGGAAAACCGCAGTGGGGCGCCAGTGGCAAAACCTGTATTCAAGTGTCCTGGGTCACATTTGAAGATCGGATACAGGTCACATAGGGGCAAAAAAATTGGATTTGGGTCACTTCAGGCGGCAGTCTGAACACAGCCATTATGTCCTTAAGCAAGACACTTCACCCACATTGCCTAGTATGAAAGCGGTGTGTGTGTGAGTGATGGGAGTGGTGGGAGGGGCTGATGTCGCAGATTGGCAGCCTCACTTCTATCAGTCCACCCCAGGGCAGCTGTGGCTACAATAGTATCTTACACCACCGAGTGTGGAGTGAATGAATAATGAACTGTAAAGAGTCTTTGAGTGTCCAGAAAAGTCCTATATAAAACTGATGCATTATTATTATTTTATTATTAGCTCTTCAAAATCTATACTTAAGTATAATCCTTAAGTACATGTCCTTACTGACCATCTCTGCAAATAAGTATCAAGTTTCAATGCTAGTTTTAGAATTGATTATCTTGTTAGCGTCGAAGAAGAGTCTATTCAAATACTGCCTGATTGTGTCCTTGAGCACAACACTTCCATGAGCTTGTTACACAACATTCCTGGAAACTAAGTGCTTCACTTCAATTGACAGTTCAATTGATGGGGACCCAACTAAATTAAATATATATATACAGTATATATATTAAAAAAAATTAAATAAATACAAAATATGGGCATCTAGGTAAAGAAAAAAAAACATCAGTGTGAATGTGAGTGTAAAGTGTATTATACAAAAATAATGTTACTGTAGAATTCAGCTGACTAAATAGTGAGCAACATCCAAACGATGAGTGTGTGAATGGTAAAATGATGATGTGTTGTGTACTGACCTGAGCACCAGGAGTCCTGCGCCTCCAGCCCACACTGCGAGGGAGGGGCTGCTTCTCGATGGCACAGGTGCAGCCCAGAGCCTGGAGAGACGAGAGCAGGGCCCCCCCACCCTCCAGCTGCAGGAGAGCTGTGGTTCAGCAATTCAACTATTAGTTTTTGATGGTGTATGCACAATGAAAAACTGGCACCACTTCTGAATAATGCAGAGGAATAATTTAAAGGCAAGTTCTACAATAAAATAAATTACCTTCAAGCTAAATCTGAATGAACTCCTGAAATTAATATGTCAAGTTTGTGGGGCCAGTCCCAAACAAAGAATGAAAAGGTTCAATGTTTGTGCATCATCATTTTGGATATTTCTTTCAAAAACAGTAAATCTCCCATAGAATTCTATTGGCCTCTGCCCTCCCTCTGAAATGATGACACCACTAAATAGAACATACCGTATTTTTCGAACTATAAGTCGCAGTTTTTTTCATGGTTTGGGTGTTTCCTGTGACTTATATATTAAAATTTTCACACTGACAGCCGTGAGAGGCTCTAGTCTGTCAGTATCTGATGCTCCTGTACCACTGTCACTTCACTCTACTGCACATGTCTGCAGCAGCAAAAGTTGCTGTCCTGTTGCAAATAGTGAAATATTCAGCCAAAAACAGTAATCGAGCAGTAGAAAGAAAGTTTGGAGTGAGCGAAAAACTTGTGAGGGACTGGTGGAAAGTGGGGATGGAGAACCCAGCTCCACTGTAACCGGGAGGGTAAAGAATAATTCTAACTGGAACTGATGCTGAGTCTGACGACAGCGACACAGAAGAGGAAGCGACGCTCTGTTTACCTCCGGAGGTCGAGGCCGAGTTGTTCAGAAGTGACACCGAGGATGAAGAATTGAATGGATTTAGTGATTTGGAGTGAGATGGAGAGTTTGATAAACTTGTTCTGTTCTGTTGTTTATGTTATAGTTTATCTGAAGAACTGTTCAAATATGTGACGTTAACATACCAGACACAATATGCCTATTCAGCCTGTTGTTCTCTGTTCTGTTGTTATTACTATAACTTGCCTTTCATGATGAGATGTCGGGTCCTGGTCTCTGACTTTATAAAATAAATTTCCCCCAAAAAGTGCGATTTACAGTCTGGTGCAACTTATATACGTTTTTTTTCTTCTTCATTAAATAATTAATTCATGATATTTTGGCTGGTGCGACTATACTCCGGAGCCACTTATAGTCTGAAAAATATGGTAAACACTTCCCATAATCCTCGTAGTTTACCTGGGTCCACCACTGCCACCATGTACTTGATGCACTCCTCTGGCCTCAGTGCCTTCACAGCGTCTGCCATGGCCTTCCTCTGGGCCCTCTCCTCCTCTCTGCCCCTCCTCTGCTCCTCTCGCTCCCTCTGCTTCCCCTCTCGAGTCCGCTTCCTCCTCAGTGCCTCCTCCTTGGACTTCTGGATCTCCTCCACTGTCCTTTTGGTAGGAGCCTTGGATTTGGGCGGACTATGACCAACCTGGCCGTTTGGATGTTGGAGTATTTCAGTAAAGCCATTCGGTGATTTTTCTGGAATACACGAGGGAACACCTAGGGATGAGAGGAATTGTGAAAAATGTGAGGAATTTTATAGAGGGTTAATCTGAAAACAATAGGGGCAACAACAATCAGGCAATATGTTTAGGTACTACATCACACAAAATGGATTCTTATGAGTTTTAAGCCATGTTAGAATGCTTAATCCTCATCAAAACATATCTGGAGTTGTGTTTTGTTTTATTCACACATATTTGAGTAACCCTTGATTCTCCAAAGCTCTAAATGCTCTGTTCCACCTTGTGACATCATGAAATATTTTCAAATTTTCTAATTATTACTTTTTAACTTTTGTTCAGTAAAAATAAACAATTCCAGGGCTGAAAGTATCCAACTGATTCTAGTAAAGGTATAAAGTTTAAAACCCAGTGGGGGAGCATGTTCTGTATGACATCACAAGGTGGAACAGGTCATTTCAGTTTAAGAGAAGAACTCCTAAATCTGCAGGGTTTGTGTGTTAAAACATGTGGGAATGAAACAAAACACAACTCCACATAGACAAGAAAATAGTTTTAATATGGGACCTTTAAAATATGACTATGGGACCTATAATTACTTAAAAAGGGGGGAATTATACAAAAGCAATCAATCTGGGGTGCAATGCGCTGCCCACAAACCTACCCTACCCACGATCATACATGAAAGTTGTCCATAAATATTCAAAAACATGATACAAAACTGTATGCAACAACTTGACAAACCTGATGCGATGTGCAGGAGCTTCATTAGCAGTATGCATGCTGATTGTGTTGTGATTAGAATATGGATTGGGCTGATTATGGCCCACGTCCAACAGAGCAGTGATCGAATCCAACCTGAGCCCAGGCATTAAGATATTTGTGTCCAAGCCTGACACAATTACAATCACACTATTTTCATCAGCCTAATGACACATGTAGGATATTATTTGTGTTCCTCTAATGGACACAGAGACGCAAAAGACAAACTCAGGATACAGCGAAAATAATGAGAAGACTTGATTCCTCATCTCTCGTAAAGTGGTAAATTTAAAGTGCAGCATCTCATCCACATTATCCACAGAAATTGTTCTCCTCAAATAATGAGCCCAGTCCACAAAACCACACTGTGAATCCAGTTTGAGGCATTTAAAAGTAAAAAGGTGAGAGTAGTTCCTCACTTGTGTCTGTTTACATCCACCCAGAGCACAGATTGAGCTGAAGCTGCAGATTAAAGACAGTGACTCTACTTCCTGTGGATTTTTATTGCCAATCTTTTATGCTTTAAAAATCATGTATCTTAAGTTTTGCACCACATGCACCGATAGTAATAACACAGTTTTGACTTGTATCTAAACTAGAAGGGCAGAGTCTCTGATCTTTGAACACTTAAGAGTCTCAAAGCGACTGGTTTTACTGTAGACAGGAATCAGCTGACGCTCTGATGTGTCTGAGTCTGACCCGAGCCCAAACATAAGTCAGGTGCCAGTGGGTTCTGTCGGACTTCGGTCAGGTTTCCATGCTCTAGTTGTGATAGCACACTGAAGGGGGAGTCAGAGTTTCAAAAAAATTAAACTGAAAAATGTTGATACATTGTTTTAGGCAAATATTGAATTTTCAGAACTATGTGTTAGCAGTTAATACCCCCAAAGAAGTGTAATACTCCCTCTTTAATAAATACTGTCCTCAATAACCACATATTTGTAGAGAATTGAAGCTAATGTTGGGTTACCCATAATGCAAAAATGTCAAACCATCCTTATGTGTACAGAGCATAAAGGCTGAACTTGAAACATTAGTACAGTAGATACAATTTGAACCCATCCTCTGCCCACCTCTCGTCGCCTCCTGCTGCTGTTTGAGACGAAGAGCCAGGGGAACGTACGGAGTGTCGTCATCAGAGTCGCTGCTTATGGTCATGACATCAGAGCGCGCTGAGGATTTGATTGGCTGTCGGAGGAGAGGGGCGGGGCTTAGGGGTCGCCTTGGTTTGGTGAGGAACACTGGGAATTCCTCGTCCAGGTCGCTGTTGGAGTCTGTGTCCATATTGGGTGACCTGTAAGATATAACAGTATACAGGATTTGAAGACAACAAACTGAAACTGGGTAATGGTACCTTCTACACATAGACATTATCAAAACTCTGTGGAGGAAGTGGCCTTTTAACTGTTAAAATGCAGATGTTTTGACCAGGTTCATCATTAATGTGTCTGTAATTACTGCGCCTATCCTAGAAAGTAGCAAAATGTTCAATGTCTTCTGTCAGTTAAAAATGTACTATGATTAATAGTGTAGTAGTACTTGAATGGTAAATGGTCACATTTTTAAATAGCACTTTTCCATCTTTTAAGGTTCTTTACATCAAGGAACCACTCACACATTCACGCACAGACACTGGGGGCAAGGTGGGTTAAGTGTCTTGCCCATGGACACCATGACAGCATTCATCTGTGGGAGCTAGAATTGCACCGCCAACCTGTGGATCAGTGGATCTGACCGCTTTCCTAATAGCATTTATCAATTTATCAATGGATGAACACTACCAACTCTCTACTCTCGTCTTAAGTTATAGTTGAATATATGAATTTCCTTTTCTTTCTTCCTTTTCATCTATAGCCCCCTCCATCTGAAACTGTGACAGAATAGACCTTTTCCACAACGTCCGGAAGTGCTGCGATATAGAGTAACCTGAACTTCCGGTTAAAGCTTTTCTATGGTAAAATATCTGTGAAAATGTCCCGCGTATTCTCCAGCAGCTTCATAAATCTGCCCCATCACCAAATCTTCAACCATGAAAGATAAACATCCTTCCATGAACAATTTAACCACAACTATCAAGGGAAGAAAGATAAAAGCTTATGATGTACGGCGGGCCACCTATGTGTTTCCAGATGGGACCCTGCCCATCATGCAGAGGTCATGTCTCACTCTGGTCACTAGGATCCTCAATGCGTTGAATCATCCTGACTGTTTCACTCTCTGGAACAATGGGCGAATTCAAGGCACAGCTCAGTGACGAGCCCCTTGCAAACTTCCCTTTTGAATGAGAGGGGACAGAGGGGTTTAAAACTATTTTCCAACGGTCATAAGACCACAGAATTTCAATTTTGTATTTGAAAAACTCTTGATGTAATTGCAACTTTTGCAATTAAAGGGGGAACAAAGGTGACACATTAGTGAACTACTGAGCAAAGCTAACATTATGTAATGAATGACTCTAGAATCAAAATAAAAAATGTATTTCATGGTGTCGATATTAGCAGAAAGATAGATTTGTGCAGTTTTAAATGCTACAGATGTTCACAGATTACATGTCTCACATTCAAACTGCACAAACAAATTCATCTATCTATGCTAATATTTAAATTTTTTTGTTTTTCTTTTTTTGATATCATGAAGAGACTGATATGTTTAATGCTAGAATGTAAAATAAATGTCCTCATTGCTATAATTGTATTCTTATTTATTCAGCATCAGATCCCTTGTACTTAGGTGTAACTTTTATGCTGCTAAGTTTTATCAATGCATAATAATGGATGATAATAATGAATACATAAATATTAACGGATACAACCTGGAAGAAGGTTTATTTCAATGTTCAATGCAAGGTCCATCTGAAGAAATGCTGCGTTTGTTGTTGTCATGACATGCACATGGAATAGTCGCAGATAAATCCATGTTCTTGAGTGTAGCTTGGCGCTTACCTGTGGTTGATTTATGCACAAGCTCAGGATAGAGTCTACTATAACGCCACGATGATTTAAACGAGCGATTTCACGGGTTAGTTTAGTTTATCAAAAGTTTTCGCGTTCACGGAGCTCGGAGACATGTTTGATTCACCCGGGCGAGGAGGCGGAGCGTGGGCTTTATGACGCTTGGGATTTTTTTCCATTCTGTTCGCTAAAACGTGAAATTACAATACAATACAAATAGCAAATATTATTGTAAATATTATTAAATCTTTGGGATTTTTTTATGTAAATAGATAAATAGTTAAAAAAAAATATTTGTGCTGTTATTTTTGTGAGTTTTATTCAAGCAAGGGTTCAATATTAAAAATAAAACTCTTTCTGAACGTACCATGAACGTAACGGGATGTGACGTAGCGGATTTGACGTGATTCAACATGGCGGCGTTGACGTCCTTGGTGTTGAAGTCTCGAGCAGGTATTTAGTTTAAAAGTGAAATAAATCGCTGTCTGCTGATCTGGACAAAGAATCTGAGCTGCAGTAGACGTGACACTTGTGTTTGAATGGACTGATTATAGGAGTTCTGCACAAATATGGTGGTTTACGACGAACGTGGGTGCTCAATGTGTCCTGAGTGAATCACTGAACGCAGCTACAGAACATGTTGTTGCATTTTTGCTTTTGAACCTTAAATTAATCTTGGCATAATTTGTCTCAGTGTTTGTCATTGATGGTGGTATAGATGTTCTCTGCATCTCATCTCAGGCTGTGCTACTAATCGAATTTTGATCGCGATTTCGATTTGTGTGTCAAACGATCTTCAAACTCATCTAATCAAGTTGAAACGAGTTATTATTATTACAATTTTTATATAAACAAGTATATTTATTAATTTTTTATTGTAGAACAGCTGGACATATAGTTTATTTTGGATACATGTGTGTTTTTCTATGCGTTATTTCATGGTCAAAGTTTATTTTATTTATTTTATGTTTTATACATCTCAAAACTTCACTAAGGTTCATATTTGTAGCCTATATTTATTTTCAGTTTGAAACTTTTGCAGAAATTGTCAATAACAAAGCATTGTTCTTGAGAGCGAGAAAGATCAAATGTAACTATAAATAAGTGTAACTGTTTGAATAATCGTGATTTCAATATTGACCAAAATAGTGATAATGATTTTTTAATTTAATTTTTTTCCGTAATCAAGCAGCATCTCATCGTATTGTGTTCATGTTCTTGCAGGGCTCCTGCTCCCCGGTCAGTCTCTTCTGCTGGACTCCGTGAGGTTTGCCTCTAAAAAAGCTGGAGGCAGCTCCAAGAACCTGGGAGGGAAGAGCCCGGGCCGCAGATACGGCTTTAAAAAACAAGATGGTAATTTAAGTTCTATAAGTTCAAGCACTGATCATACGCGATTCCAACCATACCTCAGTTTTCATCAGTTCCCCACTGACACACAACTCTGAGTGCACTGGTACATGTGATTAGAAGAGATGAGGCCAAATTCCAGATGATTCCAAACAGCACATACGTCTGCAGTCTTCATTTTACCACTGATCACATTTACTTCAGTGGGTTTGTCAGTCAGAGAGCCCAGTGTCAAGAACTACACTGGAAGTTGTCATTGCATCTTTCCTAACATTTTCCTGGTTTATGACGTAACATGAATAGAGCCTATTCGCACACAAAGTAATTCAAAGTGCCTTACAGAATAATAAATACATTAAAATCACAATACAGAGAAATCAAAACATAAGTAATCATCATAAAATTAAAAAGAGAGAGAGACATTAAATAAGAGCGAAGAGTGCAGAATGAAAAATGAAAACCTTTCAGTCATGTGCAGCTGAACAGAACTGCTTTGAGTCTGGATTTAAACAGAGTTAGAGCAGAGTCTGTCTCACATGTTCAGACTGTTCCAGGTTTTAGCTGCATGAATCTGAAACTCTGACTCCCCGTGTTTAGTCCTGACTCTGGGCACAAGCAGGAACTCCTCAGAGTGCAAGATATATTTACAAACTTGAGTTATTATGTTTGGTTACTCTCTTACATTCTCCTTTTTAGGTAACTTTGTTCGTGCTGGATACATCCTGGCCACACAGAGGCACCTGAGGTACCACCCCGGGGCTCATGTGAGTGACTGACTTTTAACATAACGCATATTTAGACAACAATTTCTGTCAAATATAGTGAAGACATTGATAGAGAATAGTTCAACAAAGTAGATTTGTGGGTATATCATTTATTTATTATTCATTATTGCGTTCTTTATTGGGTCTTTGTGAAATAAAAAACACATCTTCTCTATTCAGTTTTACTAGTTTGATAGTTGAGCTCTATTAATGTCATAAATAGTTGCTGTGTTACAAGTTGTCCCTCTGTTACTTGAGCATTGCACTCAAAGATTCAATAAATGAACAAAAATAAATTACAGATCCAGGTAGGGGATTAAGACTTGGCATATTTCTTTCCTTGACTAAGAAATGTCCAGGCACATTTCATATGGGGTTATTTTTGTCTCAATAATATTCACAAATACAAAGATGGTGATCTACAAATAGTCATTGATTTGTACGTGTTTTGATGTCCACAAATGCAAATTTAATATTTGTAACTTGTATTTTGGTATTTACAAATAGACGTGTATTTATAAATATATCTTTTTTCATTTGCAAAAAATAATTTAATTTGTTAAACTAAAAATGTGATTTGCATTTGTGGATTACCAGTTACACGAATCCACCAAGACAGACACGTACTTGACCAGTAGAGGGCAGCAACTGCATACGAAACATTTGACACTGCTGAAATTGGAAGCGTTTCTTGCGTCACTTAATGTCACTTTGGCTAATGTTTACATTATCAAACACCTCAACAGCTGAGGGCTAAACCAGAACTGAACCAGGACTGAACTAGGACTAAAACAGGACTACACCAGAACCGAGTGTCTGAACGACTCGGAGTTGTGCCCATGCAAACTGTCGGGTGACCTCAGGCAAAAGAGCTCCGAGCCTCACGGGGCTAAACACGGCCGTCACCTGAACGCGCTTTACGGACACCGAGCTCCGTGGCTCGGGGTCCTCCCGCTCTCTCTCTCAAGTCAAAGATTAGTCCTGGTTTAGACCTGGACTGAACCAGAACTGAACCAGGACTAAAACAGGTCTAAGCCAGGACTAATCTTTGACTTGAGAGCAGCGGAGCTCGGTGTCCGCAAAGCGCGTTCGGGTGATGGCTGCCTTTAGCCCCGCGAGGCTCGGAGCTCTTTCGCCCTCTGTCACCTGACGGCCTGTTCAGGCACAACTCCGAGTCGTTCAGACACTCGGTTCTGGTGTAGTCCTGTTTTAGTCCTAGTTCAGTCCTGGTTCAGTTCTGGTTTAATCCTTAGCTGTTGAGGTGTTTGATAATGTAAACAGCCAAAGTGATGTCAAGTAACGCAAGAGACACTTTCATTTCGGCAGTGTCAAATGTTTCATGTGCAGCTGCTGCCCCCTGCTGGTTAAGTACTTGTCTGTTTTTGTGGATGTGTCTGTGTTTGTGGATTTCTCAAAATGAGTATCTCAAAATTACGTCATACCGGAAATCGGTGGATTCGTGTAACTGGTGATCTACAAATTCAAATCACATTTTACAAACAGAATTTTTTGTTTTACAAATGAAATTATTTTTTGCAAATGAAAAAAGATATATTTACAAATACACGTCTGTTTGTAAATAGCAAAATACAAGTTACATATATTAAATTTGCATTTATGGACATCAAAACATATGTACAACTCAATTACTATTTGTAGATCACAATCTGTGTATTTGTGAATATTAATGAGACAAAAATAACCACATAATTTCAGTACATTTTGAAGTGAATATTATCATCGGGATAATAAAAAGACAGATACACTTCTTACATAGATGCAGGTGAAGCCGATGAGCAGATCTGCTGATTGTGTGTGTGCTCTGTGTGTCTCCCAAAGGTGGGCATGGGCACCAACAACACCCTGTTCGCTCTGGAGGACGGACACGTGTGCTTCACTAAAGAGGTGTACATCCCCCCGCCGCGCAGCACCGAGTCCAAAGACGTCATCTCCAGACTGCCCCGAGGAACCGTGCTCTACAAGACCTTCATCAACGTCCTGCCCGTCAAACAGGAGGGAAAGTTCAGACTGGTGGACTTAGTCTGAGCGCGGACTCGACTAAAGACACTTTGACATTCTGGGTTGTGTTATATTACGCTCTTCTCTGATCTGTGTTCTAATGTTGTTTCCTCATCACGTTTTGTTTTATTCACACATGTTTACTTTGTTCCACCTTGTGATGTCATGTGGTAATACAGAGCTCCATTGTGTGTGTGTGTGTGTTTTTTATTTTTATTTAAGACCTGGAATTGCCGATCTCTACTTCACTAAAGGTAAAAGGAGCTGTTAACTTGAACTCTACCACTACATGACATCAGAGCATTTTGAGCTTTGGAGATGTACACAGACTATTAAAGTTTCTATTTAACGTTTTTTAAACTTTACTGAAACAAAACACAACTCCAGCTCTGTTTTTGATGAGGTAACAACATTATAACATGGCTTAAAACTCCCAAGAGTCAATTCATTGTAATAAAGGACCTTTCAGTGTTGGACTAGGGGCTTGCATGTCTTCTGCCTGATATGTCGCCCATCTCTAGTTCAGTTCTAGATCGGTTAATGACATTAAAAATCACTTCATCTTTTTTTCAAATCCTGCAGCTGGATATATCATTATGTAATATACCATATAAGGCGAATGTTCCAACATTCTCATTTCAGTTGTGTGATGAAAGTGTGTTGTTTTTATACATGTTAAATATAACTTATATAAATCATTGGTCTCTCTTATTTTTTGTGTCATTTGTATTGTTTGTTAGTTTTCACTGTGAGGAAGCAGTTGCTCAGTTTGTAGAGATGTTTGTTCACTCACTAAGACATAGTTAGTTACTCTCTTTGTCTGGGTGAATAAAGAGTAATAAAAAAAAATTAGAATTACCATATGACTAAGTTACAGGTCAGACCTGTGCAGGGGATAAGAATGTGTGTGCTTATCTGTATCTTTGTTGATTTGAGATTTGCTAGGTTTCAGATGTGATCATAACATTCTATAGCTCAGTATTAAAATGCCAATATTCCTGGTGATACAGTGAGTTCTTGGGTCTAGACAGTAAGAGAAATGACCAGGTTCCACATTTGTTACTTTACCTTGTAGATATTTTGTGCTAAAGTACAATGTGATCAACAGGGAGAACTGTCTCCTGCCCCCCATCTGGGAGTATAATACCATCACATTTATCCATCCAGCTTCTTCCGCTTATCTGGGGTCAGGTCGCAGGGGCAACAGTCTGAGGAGGGCCTCCCAGACTTCCCTCTCCACACACACGTCCTCCAACTCTTCCAGGGGGATCCCAAGCTGTTCCCAGGCCAGCCAAGAGACATAGTCCCTCCAGTGTGTCCTGGGTCTTCCCCGGGGCCTCCTCCCGGTGGGACATGCCCGGAACACCTCAACTGACTCCTCTCGACGGAGGAGCAGCGGCTCTACTCATCACATTCTACAGTCTGAAAACCACCAATAGTATTTGAATGAATGTAATATCAGTTTAATGTATTTGCAGTCTATATATTCAGTCTGAATTTCCTGTAGTTCCACCAACCTGCTCAGGGACCACAGGTGTGACAGAGATTCATGTTATAACCACTGTCTCTTCTGTGACACTATTCTATTGTAGTGCACCATGGAAATTAGAAATTAGAAAACGTGAAAGTAAATTAATGTGTAAAATGTCCCTTGTTCTCTTATCTGTACTTTGGCCTGACTGTAGCGCACACTGTAATACTGACTTTATCCACTAGATGGAACTAAATGCACATGTTTTTGGATCCAACTCAGAAATGCATAAAATCATGAAGATTACAAATCATAAAATGTGATTTTAACATGTTATATTGTAACATGAGGGGGGATGGGAATGTTCCAAAGGATGGCATTAAGTTTATCTATCTCCATGGAGACAAGCCAATGTCACTACTGGGCTCGGTCAGTTCAGATGTGGAGCTCGAGTCTGCTTCTGTAACTGCGTGTTTTTGTTAGCAATGAAAAAGAAATGAAATACATAAATGGTACATTCTCTAATCTGTTCAGGTATTTTGAACTACATGTGAACACATTTGCATTTGCAACTTGAAACTTACCCTCCTTGAGTAATACAGCTGATGCACAGTGTAACAGTACTCTTACTTGAGTAAGTGCACAGTCTAGCAGTACTCTTACTTGAGTAAAAGTTAAAGTAAAAATAATAATGATAATAATAATAGTAGTAGTATATATGTAATTCTGTTTTATTATATAACATTTTTGTTGTCTACCTTTCAAAATCCCATTTGTATGTTTTGTCCCAGAATATATAAACTCTGTTGAGCTACTTACACCAAACAAGAAAACAAGAATACCAGAGAGCAAGAAATGTAGCGCATATAAGAGCCAAAACAAGGTACAGTTAAATGTCTATAAAACATAAATCATTATCCATGTATTAGTGCACAAAGCCACGCACCAGAATGACACATTTACAATAATAATTCATCTAATCTTTGTTTTTTACTGAAATACATATATAAATCATAAATCTCTTGGAGAGCTTCTTGAAAGGGGGTGAGAGCTCCTGGTAGCTCCCAAGTAACAGATTGTAGAGACTTTTCTTAACCTCTACAGATTTGTGTCTAAACCAGACACAGAGCCTACAACAACACACACGACAACACGTTCACGTTCTGTGTTATTTCTTTACACAATAGGCTACATGTTGACTGTGAAATGTCCTTGTCAACATGTTTGTGACAACATATTTTAAACTGCTCATTTCTTTATATGAGCAGAGTAAAGACAACATAAAGACACTTTCAAATCAGAACACTCAGGAAACACATTGGGGATTAAATGTACAATCTTTGAAGTGCAAATAAGACCAACTAAATGAAATGAGCTTTTGTCTAATGCCTCAGTCGTCCAGGTCTGATCCAAAGCAAATGAGAAATGAAATTCTGTCCCTGGACAAAAGTTTTTGGAGTGAAGACCTTTTGCAGCATAATCGCTCAGGCCCCCTCAGAGCTGTGAGAGCCTGAACTATTCTGCAAACATGACTCAGCACAGTCCCCACTCAGTGCACTTCAACAGAGCTGGTTAACAACGCAAACTGTGAACAGGTAGGTGTGTGAGTTTCAGAGGAGTTTCAGAAAATACAGAGGGTCATGTGGTTGAGTCCTGCTGGAGGCAGTGTTGGGAAGGTGACTTTTAAAATATATTCCCCTACAAATTACAGATTACATACCCCAAAATGTAGTTTGTAACATAATCCATTAAATTACTTAAAGTGAGTAACGTAATCTGAATACTTTGGATTACTTGATTTGCTGTAGAGAAGCAAAGACGAGGAAATCTTCACATAAGATGTTTTGTCTGATAAAAGAAAATGAAAAAGCTCAAACTTTACTGAACCAAATTAAAAATATTATTGATAGAAGAAGAGACACATCCACACAGCATGATTTAGTCCTGTTAAGTCCTGGTTTATTCTTGGTTTAGACCTAGTTTAGATCTAGTTTAGACCTGGTTTAGTCCTGGTTTAGTCTTGATTTAGACATAGTTTAGACCTAGATTAGACCTGGTTTAGACCTGGTTTAGTACTGGTTTAGTCTTAGTTTAGACCAGGTTTAGTGCCGGGCAATGAGTGAAATTACCGGAAAAAAAAAAAGGGGGATTTTGCCCGAAATGTGAAAACAGGAAAATACCCCCATGTAATCTATTTGTTTCAACAAAGTAACTGTAATCCAATAACCACTCAATGAAACAGTAACTGTAACTGAATACAGTTACTTATAATTTGTACTCTGATTACGTAACTCCGGTACATGTAATCTGTTACTCCTCAACACTGGCTGGAGGTCTGTGGGGTTGGGTTCTCTGGCTGGAGCTCTGCAGCCTGTTGTATTTCTAGGACTACTGCTGTCTGAACACTACTGTACAAGTGTAAGATCTGTCAGTGTCTCCATCATTCCCCACTGGCTTCATCACACTGTTAGACCCTCCTCCTCCTCCTCCTCCTCCTCTTCCTGTCTTTTCTGTGACGTGGTTGTGGACGTAGTCTATAAGAAGGTCCTGGTATAGATCTATAGATGTGAGGTGTAATGCTGCGTAATCTCACTGACAGTATGTGTCTGCACTTTAGGCCTGTTTGTAACTGATTGTAAACCAGTGTAATCACAGTGTTGGGAAGTTGACTTTTAAAATGTATTCCCCTACAAATTACAGATTACATACCCCAAAATGTAGTTTGTAACATAATCCATTAAATTACTTAAAGTGAGTAACGTAATCTGAATACTTTGGATTACTTGATTTGCTGTAGAGACGCAAAGACGAGGAAATCTTCACATAAGATGTTTTGTCTGATAAAAGAAAATGAAAAAGCTCAAACTTTACTGAACCAAATTAAAAATATTATTGATAGAAGAAGAGACACATCCACACAGCATGATTTAGTCCTGTTAAATCCTGGTTTATTCTTGGTTTAGACCTAGTTTAGATCTAGTTTAGACCAGGTTTAGTCCTGGTTTAGTCTTGATTTAGACATAGTTTAGACCTAGATTAGACCTGGTTTAGACCTGGTTTAGTACTGGTTTAGTCTTAGTTTAGACCAGGTTTAGTGCCGGGCAATGAGTGAAATTACCGGAAAAAAAAAAAAGGGGATTTTGCCCTAAATGTGAAAACAGGAAAATACCTCCATGTAATCTATTTGTTTCAACAAAGTAACTGTAATCCAATAACCACTCAATGAAACAGTAACTGTAACTGAATACAGTTACTTATAATTTGTACTCTGATTACGTAACTCCGGTACATGTAATCTGTTACTCCCCAACACTGAGTACACATATGACATGCCCACTGAGGCATGGATTTATAAGACACACAACACAATAAGCAGACAGATCACACATCAAACATAAAGTGTCCTTTTACGGAGGTCCCAGACTTTTAACACAAACTGAGCCAACTTGAAAACATCACATTTAAACAAATACTTCAGTCTCTCCTCATCAGACACAGCAACAATCATTAAGACACATTAGACAATAACTGACAGAGCAGCTCATGATACAAACAACAGTAAAACACAAGATGCATTTCATTTTCAATGTCCTTTAAGTCACACAGACACATGTGCTCCTCCTCTGGGACTGATGGAAGTGTCCTGTCTCCAAGTCCTACACCTCAACTGGACACATACTGACCTCTGACCTCTGCCCTCTAATACTACTACTACTACTACTACCACTACTACTATATAATATACTACTACTACTACTACTACTATAATACATGGGGTTATCTACCTGTGGAAAAAATAAATAAATACAAATCATAATAACGCGCATTATCACAGCGTTATTAATGACGTATGATGATGCGTGTAAAAAACGTGAGTCACGGGCACGCACGCGGCTCGTGACTCACGGCGGGTGGGCGGTGCTTGTATCCGGAGAGGCGGACAGGCGGTGCGCGCGGTGCGGGGGACGGGTGGCTCTGACTCGGCTGGACGCTGCTCAGACCTCCGCTCCGACCGCGGCTCATGCTGCGGACGCCACACCGAGCTCACGCACGAGTCCCCCGGCCGCACAGCAGCCCCAGCGCACGCACCGGCGCACGGCACGATGGAGCGGATGGAGTCTATGGAGCCCATCTCCGCTTACTACACCACGGCGTACCCGGAGATCCAGCCCGAAAGCGGCTACGGCTCCGGAGAGAAGACCCCCCCTGCGCCCGCGTACAACGAAGAGCTGGTGCACAAGGTAAACAACATCTGGACTGTGCGCCTTTTTTGTTGCGTAAAAATACATTACGACATCACGACACTAGATGATGTTTTAAACAGAGCTGGAGACAGGTCTGGATTCTCAGGTGGAGTTTGTGTAGAACTGTCAGATTGCAGATTTGTTGACCTGGCTTATGGTTCATGTTTCTATAATTACTGCACCTTTCCACATGAAACAAAAACTGGTGCAAAGTCCAGCATCTACTCTGTCAGTATAAATAATTCAACTCCAAAGCTGTGATTGATGTCACCTGAAAGGACTTTAAAGGTCTTTGTGAGCTTCTAGCCATGTTAGGATGTTGTTACCTAATGACAAATATCAAAAATACCTTGGACTTGTGTTGAATCTGTGGATCATTCGTTCATTCGCAACGATGTTCTTCATTATTTGTCTCCAAAACCAAAATGAAAAAATGGATAACGATTAACTTTTTCAGTTTTCAATTTTGTGTTTAGATTAATTTGTTTTTGGAGACAAATAATGAAGATTTTATTTTATTATTATTATTTTTTTTTTTTTTTTTTTTTTTTTTTTTGAAAAACAAGTGAACGAATGATACGCAAATTGAGTTTCATTTACACATATCTGAGTAACTTTTTATTATTAGTCTGTCTACATCTCCAGCTCAAAATGCTCCGTTCCACCTTGTGATGTCATGAAGTGGTAGTTTTCATTAACAGCTCCTTTTACGTTTAGTTCAGTAGAGATTGGAAATTCCAGACTGAAATGATCCAAGTGAATCTAGTGAAGGTGTGTGGAGTTTAAAAACACAGTGGAGCACTTCCTGTATTCCGGCATGACATCACAAGGTGGAACAAAGTGTTTTCTTTTTGAGAGAAGAACTCAGGCTGAATATTTTGTGTTAAACGTGAATGAAACAAAACACAAGTTCAGGTCTGTTTGTGATGAGGAAACATTAGAACACAGATCAGAAAATAGAGTAATACAGGCTCTTTAAAACGTTACTCAAGTACATGTAACTGAGCAAATGGAGTACCGCCCACCTCTGATGATAGGTTGCACTTACAGCTGAGCGTACAGTGTGTTGTATTGTCGTGGTTGTGCGTCGGTTTTGCGGTCGTGTCGTCTCTGGGAGCAGCGTGGTCACATGGTCGGGTGAGGGGCTGTTATATAATGAGGCTGTGCTGTTTGGCCTGGAGCTGCACTGACTCTGTGTACGAAGGAACTTTAGTGCCACTTCCATGTACACAGGCCGTTTGACAGCAGTTACAGACGGAACGTGACACTTCTGCGGCGTGTGAACCGCGAAAACATCACATATTTACATCACCGTGTTACTTTTTATTGTTCTGAAAATGAAATATTCGCCAAAAACAGTGTATTAACATGTTTTATAAATTTTACTTTTTTCACGTTTTTTAGCATCTCCCTTTCCTTTGCTCTCTGCGCTAAATCACTCCCCCTTCAGAGCACTATCACAACACAATCTGTGTGCGTCCCTCTAAAAAAAATATTGGAATTGTCGTGCAGGAGCATGGGGGACGTAGGTTTGTGGGCAGAGCTTGTAAGGAGGGTTCAAACTGGTACTAGGGGAGATCACTAAATTACTCAGACATGATCTTTTAAAAAAAACAGTTCTTTGACCTTTACAGTAATAATGAATAGAATAAATAGAACAGACCAGGATTAAAAAGACGTGTGAGTGACGGTTGGACAGATGAAGGTGCAGGAGCTGTCCGTGGTGCTGGAGTCCTCAGTGTGGCCTGACGCTCTGTTCTTTTATTACACAAAACTGACAGTTGTGAGCTTTGTTGTTGTTGTTGTTGTTTGTTGTTGTTGTTTTTAATTTGCATATAAGGGTTTACAGATACAAGATTTAATTTAAAAAACAAAGCATTATATTCCAGCCCTCATCTGTCTCTTTTTTTAATCCAATTTATACATGTAACTTCACCTTTGCAGCATGGTGGGCAGGTAGAATGGAATAGAATGGAATAAAAAGCTTTTATTGTCATTATACAGTATAATGAAATTCAGAGCTGCTCCGTCAAAGTGCAAGAATTAATAATAAATAAAACAAATGAACAGTTCTCATTCAGTATGGTTACAGTTTTGGGGAAGAAGTTGTCCCTGAGTCTGTTGGTCGTAGCTGGAACTGACCTGAAGCACCTGCCAGAAGCAACAGTTTGAACAGGTGAATCCAGGGTGTGTATTGTCTTGAATTATTTTCCTCGCTCTGCTGAGACAGTGGGAGTTGTATAACGTGGTTAAAGAAGGCAGAGGGCAGCCAGTAATGTCCTGTGCAGTGTTGGTGACCCTCTGTAGACACTTCCTGTCGGCCTCTGTGCAGCTAGAGCCACACTGTCACAGCAGAGGTCAGCAGGTGACCATTGGTGGAACAATAGAAGGTCACCAGCAGCTTGTGTTGAGTTGCTCCTTCCTGTGCAGCTGCTGCTGGGCCTTTTTGACCAATGCTGAGGTGTTGACTGACCAGGAGAGATCCACAGAGATGTGAACCCAAAGGAATTTGAAGGACCGTTGTATCCAGCACCACGTGGCTGCAGGATCCAGATTGGAGCATGGAGACCCGACCGAAGTCCAACAGGACGAGTTCAGGCAAATATTTAGAAGGGATGTTCGTGCTCAGGTCGGACTCGGACACATCAGCTGTTTCCTGTCTAGAGTAAAACCACTCACTTAAGTGTTCAGAAGATCAGAGCTCTGCACTTCTGGTTTAGATACAAGTCAAAACTGTGTTATTATTATTTGTGAAATGTGGTGCAAAACTTTAGATACGTAGATGGAAATAGAGTCACTGTCTCTAATCTGCAGCTTCAGCTCGATCCGTGTGCTGTGTGGATGTAAACAGACACACGTGAGCTACTTAGAACAGAAAATTACCCTTACAGGAAAATGTAAAAATGGGTAATGTACAAACATTTGACTGCCTAAATCAGCCTGAGTTTACACAGAACATTTTGTATGTGGAGCGCCAACAAAGCAGGATCCCGTTTGTTAAGTGAGAGGTGCAGAAGACAAACATCCTGAGCTGCACTTTCTTGTTCTTGTGGTTTTACATCAACATCACGTCTCGGGATTTTGCATTTTTGTCGCTCCACATACAAAAAGTTTACTGCAAACTTGGGATGATTTCTTAGTCAGTCAAAAGTTTCCTTTTTGGTTCTTCCTGTGGATCAATCCTGCCCATCACCTTCACCTTTCACTATTTTTCAATTCCGTTGGAAGGGGAACAGTTTGAACAGAGGTTTGCAGTCACACACATTTGATTCACTTTTGCATTTATGGAGTTCGCAAGCAAATTTCACGAGCCGTTTTCCGCTGTCAGGATCCAACATCCACACAATTACGATGTCCGAATCCCAAAACTAAAATATGACAATATCAGAACCAGAAACAAAAGTGATATGGTTCAAAAGACTTGAAAAGATCGACTTGTGTCAATAGACACATCCCACTGGGAAAATAAACATGGAGGTTTAATGTTCACTTTTTCAGAAAATCCTTCCTAGTATGAATTGCGCAATGACCGGAAGTCCGAGATTCTTGATGCTTGTATTAACAGAAAAAAATGTAAATGCAAGTTAGACAGAACATCTTTTTTCTCAGTTGTGTTAGTTTATAATCCCTTAGCCAGAACTGTGATACTGATCATTTTACAATATGTTCCTGACCTTCTCCAGATGGTTTGAAACAGGAAGGGCATCTGGCATAATAATCTGTCAAACAAAAAAGTGAAAAAAAAAAAAAGTTATATGAAAAACGGTCTTTGATCTGCGGTTTTTCTTCCATAAGACTTTAAGCTGACAGCTCCTCTGAGTGTTTCCTCTAAGCCTGCAGTGGCCTAAATCTCTCCTCATACCCCCCTCTCTGCTCTCTCCTTTTTCATTTAATGTTCATTCATTTATTTATTTATTTATTTCATTTCATCTTGTTTTGTCATTATTTATTAGTGTTGTTAAGGTTCTAATTGCACAAACGTGACTCTTGTGAGCGTTGAGTCATGTTATAATACTGTTACCTCATCACAAACAGACCTGGAGCTGTGTTTTGTTTAACTAACCATTTAGTCTTTCTACATTTCCTAATCTCCAAATGCTCTGCTCCACCTTGTGATGCCATGGAGCGGTAATTTCCAAGTTCCAGGGCTGAAATGTTCCAAATGTTTCCTGTGAATCTAGTGAATAATTCTAGTTTGCTGCACCAAAAACTTGATTTTTTTTAAATTTATTTATTTGTGTATTTATTAATTTTTTTTCTTTATTTCATTCATAAAGTATAAAAAGACATCAACAGTGTCACAACATCAAACATACAAGAAATGAATGAAAAGGAGCAGAAAGAAGAGAAATCTTATGTTATCTGCCCCTTTTTACGGAAACCAAGAGGGGTCACAACAAACGCAAACGCCGTAACAAATACAAATGCGACAACACAACAAAAAGCCACAACGGAAGTGACCGCGGGACTCTATTCTCTGACGGACCGATCAAGCGGCAAGTGAAGAAGAAGAACTACAATGTGAAACGAATAATGATAAAACAATAAATGACTTTTACTCACGTTTCCAACTTCTCCGTTCCTTTACTTTTCATGTTGTATTTCTTCTTCTTCACTTGCCACTTGATCGGTCCGTCAGAGAATAGAGTCCCGCGGTCACTTCCGTTGTGGCTTTTAATGCGTTGTGGCTTTTTTATGTGTTGTGGCATTTTAATGTGTTGTGGCATTTGCGTTTGTGTTGTGGCATTAGTATTTGTTGCGGCGTTTGCATTCAAACAGAGTCCCGCGATCATTTCCGTTGTGGCTTTTTTTGGTGTGTTGTGGCTTTGTCGCATTTGTATTTGTTGTGGCGTTTGTGTTTGTTGTGACCCCTCTCGGCTTCCGTACCTTTTCCATTTTCAAGACAATCCATCTACGCCGATGGTTACTAAACATTTCAAATCAGTACATTTCAGTTCAGGCACAATTATTAATCAGTTGTAAACAGAAATCTTCAC